TTTTTTTTATCGAAATATCTAAGATTCTTGTGACGTATATTACTCATTAATACTATATTGGTGTATTGTGTTGGTGTATAAGCTTAATTTATCTTTACTAAGGTCGGATGTTCTCCCCGGGCACTCCGGCTTCCTCCGCCAATAAAAACTGACCTCCACGAAATAGCACAATAGTGTTAAAAGTGGCGTTAAGCACCAATCAATCAATCAATAATTTATCTTTACTAAAATAAGATTGCTTGTTTACCGTCCAATGGAAAGTATTTCTGGTATATTTACTTTCATTTATATAATTTAACCATTTTAATTGCGCAAGTTAAATTTTTATATCTGAAGATGGCGTGTTTTTTTTTTCTTTTTTCTTTATTGTGTTTGTGTCCCGTATATAGTTCAATTTAATAGTTTATGATTGATTGCCTACCGTCTAGTCGAACTTATTTCTTGTATATTATACAGGTTAAACGTAAAAAAAGAGATAACTTTTTAGTTATGAAAAAAACAGCGTTCCAGTGTCATCATAAACTGGTTAATGGATACATGTTATTAATAATAATAGTTCTTTATTGTCGTATAAGTAAAACATGATACTTGTGACACATACAACAACAAAAAATAAACTCATTTGAATTTATGTTGTGTACACTGAATATATATACAAGTAAACATAACTAAGAGTCCCCTGTCCTTAGCTCTAAATATAAAAAAAGAAGATGTGGTATAATTGTCAATGAGACAACTCTCCACAAGAGACCGAATGACACAGAAATTAACAACTATAGGTCACTGTACGGCCTTCAACAATGAACAAAGCCCATACCGCACAGTCAGCTATAAAAGGCCCCGAAATGACAATGTGAAACAATTCAAACGAGAAAACTAACGGCCTAATTTATGTACAAAAAATGAACGAAAAACAAATATGTAACACTAAAGACTGTTTTATAAAGGAACCTGTTTTTTCATTTTGATTATACTTGCAGGATTTCGCAGGACTACTTATTTTTCAGTATCAGAAAGATTAAGAAAAATATGATGATCTATCCCACTGTCATTAAAAAGTTTTATACGTAATATTTAATTATATTTTGACAGTAAAGGAGAAAGTGGTTTTCATCTTCTATGGTATTACAGGTTAGACATATTACATACATAATACCTGATCAAGCCTAAAAAAATCAATTTATACTCCCCTAAAAGTACGTGAATCAACAACAAAAAAACTAAATTAATTATGAAGCATAATTCAAGTTTGATCATCTTCATGTTTTATCGCAGTTTCGCGCTGAACGGACGTTAAATAAATATGTATGTTTTAAGCATATCGAGATCACTTAGTTTAATGGCAATAAAATATTTTATTGAAAAATACACTGTACAATGTTTACCTTTACATAGTTCCGAAGGCCCATAATTTTCATAAAATTTTTCATCAACACTCATGTTCAAATTTATTAATTTTATTTTGATGAAAAATTATCGAAATCGTAAGAATGAGAGCTTTTCAATAATGCTCTCCATGCTTTATATTTCAAGGGGTCGTGATGCACACCAACTGTTTCTGATTGGCGTAGGCTTTTGAATTGATAGATACATTGTTGATATCAAAATCCACTAAGACCTTTAGGTTATAATGTTAATGTATAAAAATAAAATCTTGACGTAATTTAGATTTCAACCAACACCAGCTCCACATTTTTTTTTCGTATTGAGCGAGATGTTGTTGCTATAAAACATTGTTTATAATTTTGATTAAAATCTTTCTCAAGATTGGTAAATGTTGTTTAAATGCTTGCAAGGATTCCTATTTCATTATTAATATTTTGAAGGGACATAACTCCTACAAGAAGGTTCAATCAGCACCAGTTTTATAACTCCGGTGAGATACTGGTGATAAAACCTTTCGTATCGATTTAATCAAAATCTGTCAAAAAAATTAAATATTTCAACTTTCCTTTTCGTTTTGACGGATTTTGTAGCACGTATGGAATTTAATATGTTACTAAATGGATATGTTTTGTTTTGTTTTCTATTTCCTGTATATATTTGTGTACTTCTGTCTATTTGATTAATTCAAAAATGTAACATGGATCTGAGTTTTATTAATTTGTTATTTTTTATCCATTATATGCAATCATTTTTTCAATCGAGCGTGGAATAGTCCAAATTTTAAGAAAAAAAGCGAAACACGCAAAGATTATGTTGTACACGCTTCCGGTTTTTGATTGGGAACGGTCTTACTCTGCGTTCACTCCAATACTTAGAGACTGTCTATTGTGAAAGACCACAAGATGACCTTTTTTTTTCTTTTTTTTTTTTGTCGTGTGGTTGCTTTCTCCTTGACGAAAACACAAAATCTCCTTTCATTCGAATGAAAAGTGTCCACGAAGTGATCCATGGTAAATTAATTAGTCAATGTACTTAAAAAGCTATCTGATCCTTCAACCTTCCTTGTCAAATCCGAAGATTGTGCAAGATACGTGCACGTGACAAATATGTATTATTAATATGATATATATATATATAATGTACATGTGACTGATAAACAATTGCACAATTCAAGTTAATATATAGTTATGTAATGTTAAATATGAAGTAGGACAATCAAGACTTTTTTTAAGTTATAGTATTTTATAATAACTACAGTGTATGTATGCTTCATTAGAATCCGCAATTTTGATTGGCTGACGACAATCACGAGGCATTCCAATATCATATTTATTTCCGTATAGAATATAACAGCTATGACTTCACGTTCTTTTCGTGACAATGTTAAAATGTTGCATTTAAAAACAAACGAAAACCTTGATATAAGTATTTTATTTCATGGTTGTAGCATAACAATGTAATTATAAGAATTGAATGTTTCTTTTCTTTTTATTTTATAGAGTTGTAAAAGCATTGATCGTACGCACCTAATGGTTTAAAAATCCAATAAAATTATGAAAAGAAGGATTCAATTCTTACGTAATTAAAACATATATTTATATCGTTTTGGAATAACTACAAAAATAGTATAAAAATAAGAAGATGGGGTGAGATTGCCAATGAGACAACTCTCCACCAGAGAACAAATGACGTAGAATTTAGCAACTACAGGTCACCGTACGGCCTTCAAAAATACGCAAAACTCATACCGCCTAGCAAGGTATAAAAGGCCCCAAAATGACAAATGTAAAACAATTCAAACAAAAAAATCAACGGCCTGACTTATGTACAAAACAATAAACAAATATAAAAGATATACAGCAACAAAAGGCCATGGAATTACAGGCCCCTGACTTGGGACATGCATGTTCAGAATATGGCGGGATTAAACATGTTCTGCCGGCGCCCTAACAATTGAGAATACTGTACTTTCATTTTGTGTCTAATTAGATAACCATTTGAAACCGCCTTTCTCGTTTATATATTTGTAATTCGAAGGAATACCACCAAACATTTAATTTGAATTTAAATTTTTCAATAACTGATTGTAATTTTATAAAAGTTGTTCGTGTAGTTCATGCTATTAATAGTTTTTTTTTAATTATAGGACTAAAGGTGAATCGAATTTGTGCTTTCAGTCTATTGATCACTTTTCAGTTGAATTTATAGCAAATCTAGATCTATTATTCAGTATTTATTAAATTTAGGAAAGCAAATAAAAGTTTCTACATAGTTTGAAATGTACTGGGCTCATCTTAACTGACCGAAGCCACATCCCTGAAGAGTATTCAATTTACCACCGGTTGCTATTAAGTAAACATAACTGAGAGACTGATAATCTTTTTCAGACTTTCAGATAAAAGGGTATTATGTATTGTAAGCTTTCTAATAGACCTTGCTGACTAAAATGACAAGGTTTTATTTTTGTGTACATGTAAACTCTTTTAAAAATAAGATGTGGTATGATTGCCAATGAAACCACTATCCACCAGAGTTCAAATGAAGTGGATGTAAGCAATTACAGGCTGTTGTTTACTTTGTATACTCATTTTTTGTCCTTGTAAATATGGTATAAACGGACAATCGGATATAAACATTAGTCATTACCGTTACTGTTTAGGGGCATCAAAACGACGGCTTGAAAAATCAATTACATTGCGTGGAGAACATGATATATATTTTTAGTTATAATTGGCTTGGAACTAACTTTCAGTAATTGCAAGTACTCTTATTTCGGTGCTTTGTGTCTATCGTTTTTATGTTAGTGGTTTCTGGGCCTTGTACAGATCTTTTGAGTTAAGCAAACCGCAACTGATTTTTATAGTTTGTTCTTATGTTGTGCTGTTACACCACTGTCCATGGTTAGGGGAAGGGTTGAGCACTCACAAACACAACGTTGAACACATTATGTATGTGCCTGTCCTTAGCCAGAAGCATGTAGTACAGTGGTTGTCGTTGGTTCATGTCTGTCATATTTGTTTTTATAAATTGTTTTTTTAGTTTACTCGTTTGAATTGTTTCACATTTTCAGATTGGGGCCTTCTGTAGCCGACTATTTGGTATGCATTTTTCTCATTCTTGAAGGCCTTATAGCGACCTATAATTGCTTACTACCACTTCATTTTAGGTCCCAGGGAATAACTTTCTCACTGGCAGTCATATCACATCTCCTCATTTTTACTTTAAAAGAAAACAAAATTAATGTTCGACACTGAGAAAAATGGGCATGTACACAAACATGTAGTCGATTGAGAATATGAAATAAAAAAAAAGCTATGAAAGAAATTGTTCGTTATGAGAAATAGTTCGCAACGTATGCCCAAAATTTTAATTTTGATCGATTGGTTGTTGGTTGCTTAACATCCAACGACAAGTACTTGATGCATATTTAGGGCAAGAAGCTCTCTTTAAGTTTGCCAACCGGGATTACTGTTGAAAACGGTATATTTACAGGTGAAGGGAAGAGTCTGTCTTTAATATTGTATAGTATACTCCACTGCATTTTGACATGCTTCACAAAAGCTCCTTTTTATATTCGAATCTAAATCAGTATACGTTTGTTCTGATGTACTTACCAAGCTTTTTTCTAAATGGAACGAGGTCTAAAACACGTATTTCTTTCAGGTTTGAGGAATGAAGCTGTAAATGTTTGATCACATGCTGGCCGAGGAATCCACTTCCGCCCGTAACTAATACAACAGCAGAAGACATCTTATCTGCAAAAAAAATTGAAGCAAAATTTATTTTTGTCGTTTGATTTTACGTACCATGAGTGATTTGCTTTGTTTAGCAGAGATGCCGACTTGGGCACTATGAAAATGAAGTTTCCAATTTTTTTTTTGTAGGACATATATTCGCGATTAAGGATTTAGTCCGTTTAAAAGCATAACTTTTAAGAAAGATTTAAACTGCTGTACTGTTCAATATTCTATTAAAGAGTTAAACTTTCTGTTTCGAACTCTGAAATAGATTTTGTTTCCACAACAGAATTCGTATTTATCATAATATATTATTTTGAAAATTACCGCAAAAATTGATTATATTAAACTATATCTGGAAAAATTCCACATGTATTTTGATTTCAATATATTTTTAGAATTTGCAATCGCGAACTAAAATATTCATATAAAGAATTATGTGTTTACCTAATAAGGAATGATTTGTAAAAAATGTTCACTCCATGATTCAAAAAAAAACTCAATAAAATGCCACCCAAAGGGTTTTACTGGGGCATTACAAAAATATTTATATGGACTTTTCATAACGGCAGGAAAAATGGTCATCCGTTTGGCTGTGTGGGGTGTTTATATAATTACGAAGCCTGACCGGAATCATGGGACATGTAAGGAGAGTATCATGTTCTCTGGACGTTACATAACTATTGCAATATTTTGAGGGCCTCTTAGATGCCCTGTTGCAAGGCAGTACGTGCTCCCCTATCCAAAATGTTCTTTTTACAAGTGACGGTTTTTTAATTATCGCCCTTCATCCCGATCGACCCGAAGTGCAGAATCGTCCTGAATGTAGGTGAAATATTTGCAACTGGACATTCAGCCATCAACAACCAATCGATACATGAAAGCATATTGTAAATGATATTTATTCAAATCTATTAATAGACATGCATAAAACATGCTATAGGATTACATAACAGTGACTAGTCACTTATGCAAATTCCTCTCTTATGTATGAATGTTTTACTGTTTTCATTTTTATATATGTATGATTCAATACATTTAAAGTCATTGTAATTGATTTAAACTGTCAAAAGGTAAACCATATACAAGACAAGAAACTTTATTTATATAAAGAAGGTTATGAATATGTACTTTAAAAAATGCATATTCACTAATTGTACAGATGGGTTATTAATTGCATGAAAAATTAACCGATAAGAAATTAAAATTTAAAACAGGATTGAAAAGAAATTAAAAAAAGGAGTAAAAATACGTCAGTTTTTTTCCAAAAACGAAAATAAAATATATCTGTACATTTCAATAAAGATAAGTATTGAAAATGATGTAAACAAGTGTTTTTAATAATATAGAAGCCTTACTATGCAAACATATTTTTACAAGAGTGAGATTTAAGCTTAATAAAATTAGTTTAAAACATTTCTGATGACGGTTAATCTAGAAACATTTCTTGAACGCACTGAAATCGATAAAATACGAATATTTTTACTACATGTACTACTGGATTGACCCCGCTGCTTAAAAAAGAGAGGCGAAAGGTACAAATGTATCAAAGGGACTGAAACTCATTTGCAAATAAAAAACTGACAATCCCTTGGCAACAATGAAAAACGAACAAAAGACAAACAACACTATACAAAACACAAAATAGAAAACCAAATTCTGAGCATCACGAACTCAGACAAAAACTGGAAGTGATGTCAAAGAGTATCATCCGTCATCAGCCAGTGATTCGGAACTGACATAATAATAACGATACTTTCTTTTTGTTTAGCATTGTGTAAGGGTAATTAAGACATTCGACTTGCAGCTCAGGCGGCTCAGGAAATTTAATCTTTTCTCTACTGCTATTTTTTGCAAATATCAATCCTGAACATGGTGTATGTGTCCAGTATTTAAAAATATATGAAAATGAACGATGAAGGATTTACAGTTTTCCTTCGTCACAAAACACCGTACTTATTATATTAATAGCGGATTTCGACTGTTAAGATTTTTAGTTGTTTATTAATAAATCCTTCAAGAGCAACTACTATGTTTAACAGAATGAAAAGATTCCAACTTTTGTAATTGTCCGCCTGCTTTCATTTTTTTTTCTATATATATAAAAAAGAAAAGAAACACATTCACCACATATCTGATTATCTTAAGATTCTTACTAATAATGAAACGCAAACACTTACGAAGTTAGTAAAGAGCTGCAACGATAGAAAAATCTGGTTGAGTGCCGATGTTTACAGAACTATTTATACCTTACTGTGAAATAGTATACAAAACTGACAAAATTCAGTTTATTATTGGAAGATATATAGTGTCCTAGACTGATAACGCCGATGAAACTAATCATATCTTGTGACCAATGGTTATTTGATAAAATTCGGCTACATTGTACTGAATTCATCCATTAGAGCTAGACAAAATAATTTTAATACGTTAATTTTAATTATTATTGTATAAAATGAAACTGGTAAAATTGATGTCAAGTTAAAAGGAAATAATCTATATACGTACAGATGGACCAAATAATCAGATTTACTTGGGTGTATTTTGGTTAACATTTACTTATAATTACAGATTTAATGAAATGTTTATGTACTTATTATGGCTTGCTAAATAATCATTTCAATATATATGCATTGAAACGCATATTTTTTTTATTAAAAGAGAGGCGACAGATACCGAAGAGACATTGAAACTCATAAGTCGAAAATAAACTTACAAAGCAATGGCTAAAAAAGAAAAATACTAATAGACAAACAATAGTACACAAAACACAACATAGAAAACTAAAGACTGAGCAATACGAACCCCACCAAAAACTAGGGGTGATCTCAGGTGCTCGCAAGGGTAGGCAGATCCTGCTCCACATGACTTTGTGGCACCCGTCGAGTTATTCATGTTAGTTCATATTGGCTCTCAAAAATGACGACTTCAGTATATGTACACTGAAGAGATTTATCCTGCCGAACTGACTTTATATAAAGCTAATGCTAACAATGAACACTGCCCTTTCCTGGATCTTGATATCTATATTTTTAACGGGAAGCTTAATACCAAAATTTATGATAAAAGAGATGTTTTTTCATTTCCTATTGTTAATTATCCATTTTTAGATGGTGACGTTCCCTTGTCACCATCTTATGGTGTTTATGTATCTCAACTTGTTCGGATCGCTCGTGTATGGAACAACGTATTTTATTTCAAGGAAAGAAATCTCTGCATTACTGAAAAATTATTACACCAGGGTTTTCGATATCACAAACTAGTCAAAACATTTACTTACTAAATTTTATCATCGGTTCAAGGACATCATTCGTAAATATAAATCAACATGCAGACATCTTATACGTTCAGGTATTTCACATCCAATATCTTATGGTAATATTCTTTACAAAGCATAAACATGTCGGCATTCACCTCAAAAGCTAACCAAACCTTTAAACAGACTTATTCGGAAGGGACATAGTTACAATACTGTTATCAGATCATTAAGGACTGCATATTTTGGTATTAATATTGATTCACTCATAGGGTCTTTGCATCGGAAATAAACACATTTATTCTAAAACCACTTGTTGGCATGATACGGGTTATGTTCTTCTCATATATTTTATGATGGTATGATACTAAACCCCTAAACGGAGGGATTGTACCTGATTTTCATATGATGAAGACATAATCTTTCAATCAGTTTAATTGAGGTATGGAGCTGGCATGTCAGTAATTTCTAGTAGTCCTTTGTTAATTTATGTATCATTGTCATTTTGCTTAGTTTCTTTTGTTACCTATTCTGACATCGGACTCGAACTTCTTTTAAACTGAGATTTACTGTGCGTATTGCTATGGGTTTCTTTATTCTACATTGGCTAGAGGTATAGGGGTATAAGATGTCTGCATGTCCCAAGTCAGAAGCCTCTGGCCTTTGTTAGTCTTGTATGTTTTTTTTAATTTAGTTCCTTTATATGTTTTGGAGTTTAGTGTGACGTCCATTTTCACTGAACCAGTACACAATTTTATTTAGTGGCCAGCTAAAGACCACCTCCGGGTGCGGGATTTTCTCGCTGCGTTGAAGACCCATTGGCTGTTATCTGCTCTTTGGTCGGGTTGTTGTCTCTTTGACATATTCCCCATTTCCATTCTCAATTTTAAATTTTACAAACCGATGATAAGTCTTATACGGCACGTCACATTCGGGGAAAAGGGGACGGGATTGTAGTTGGACAATTGGAACATATGCTTTATCATCTGTGAAACGGATATTCCATAACGGTCAACCAACTCGTGATGGCGTCCGTAAAATTTACAAAGGGATGATTTCAACTTCAATAGTTGAAACTCATGGACTAATAGCTTCCTTGTGAACAGCAACCCTCTATCAAGGAAATCGTGATAGGAAATACAAGCCCTGGAATATCGTATAAATTGGGAGATACATTGTCCGTATGTAGGCGGTGCTGGAATGTTGCTACATAGAAATGGAAAGTTCACAATTAGGAAGCTGAAATCATCTCCTCTGTTGTACAGTTTTGTTATTAATCGACCCTCATTGTCAATTTCTAAATGTAAGTCCATTAAAAATTGTTTTGTAATTGTTTGTTTTAGGGCTTGCAAATTCAAGACTGCGCAATTCATCAGAATGTATGCATTCAAAAGACATATAATGGAACAAATGAGTATTGGTGATTTCAACTGGACATTCGAATATAAGTTTAACGTGGATAATACAGCTAGACAGCAAACAAAAATCAAAAATGAAAATATTCTGTAACTTCAATGGACTGCTACTGTTCCCCCTCCGGATCCATAGAGGGTTAGTAAAATCCATAGGGGTGAGGCCGAAGACCGAATCTTCTTTGGATTTCACTAAGTAAACGCTCTATGGATCAGTAGGGGCTAGTAACGAATCGTATAACGAATTTATCGCACACGGGACTTTTACTGCTAAGTCTTGTAAAATAACTACAATGAAATACAATAACAAATAATAGTAGACGTGACGTCATGATACTCCTATGA